AGTTTACAAAAACAGAAACAAGCAATCCACACAACAATAATACACAATACTATAAGTTACACTAAATAATCCGCTCCGTCATATCATAGAATCATATCCAATATCGTAGTCCATATTCCGTTCCAGATGTCAATTACCAGTTGCCGTAATATTCAGTTAAATGCCTTCTCGAAAAGCCAGGTCTTTAGGTTCCTACGGAAGGACAAAAGGGAGGGCGCCTGTCTGATGTCAACAGGGAGGTCGTTCCACAGCCGGGGGGCCACCACCGAGAAGGCCCTCTCTCTCGTCCCCGCCAGGCGTGCCTGTGAAGCCGGCGGGATCGAGAGAAGGGCCTCCCCAGATGATCTCAAGGTCCTCGTGGGCTCATAGGCCAAGATGCGGTCTGAAAGGTATTTTGGGCCGGAACCGTTTAGGGCTTTGTAGGCCAAAACCAGCACCTTAAATTGGGCCCGGTAGCAGATCGGCAGCCAGTGGAGCTGGGACAACAAGGGCGTTGTGTGCTCCCTGCGTCCCGCTCCTGTTAGTAACATGGCTGCCGCGCGCTGGACTAGCTGAAGCTTCCGGGCCGTCTTCAAGGGCAGCCCCACGTAGAGAGCGTTGCAGTAGTCAAGGCGGGATGTGACCAGAGCGTGTACTACCGTGGCCAAGTCAGACTTCCCAAGGTACGGGCGCAGCTGGCGCACGAGCCTAAGCTGTGCGAATGCTCCCCTGGTCACCGCTGAAACCTGGGGATCCAGGCTCAATGATGAATCCAGGGTTTGCGGAGGTTAGGGGGCGCAGTGAGTCTAAATCTGATCAGGAAGTGGTCGGTCCATGGCAACGGCGAGATGGACAACTCCTCCACACCGCCACCCTGCTCCCATCCCTGGCAGAAAACCAAGTCCAATGTATGTCCAGCACAGTGGGTGGGGCCAGATATTTGTTGGGACAGCCCCATGGTTGCCATGGCAGACATGAAGTCCTGAGCCGCTCCTGTGAGGGTCGCCTCGGCATGGATATTGAAGTCCCCCAGCACCAGAAGCCGTTGAGACTCCAACGCCAGGCTCGAGACCACCCCCCGCTAGCTCAGGTAGGGAGACTGTAGTGCAGCGAGGTGGACGGTACACTAACAGAATCCCTATTCTGTCCCGGTCACCCACCCTCAGGTGGACGCATTCAAAGTTTGTGGTCTGCGGGATGGGGCTCCTGGTCAGATGGATGTTTGCCTCTTTACTTTGAGAGCCAAGTGGAAAACATCAACAGGCCCCAGGGAAGGTCATTCCAAGGAAAGCAGAGTTAATGAATGGTTGGTCAAGACAGGGAAAATATCGGGAATGTCATATTTTGGGATACGCTCCCCAGAAGTAATCTACATCAGAAAGGTGCATTTAAAAACACACACATACAAATGCCCAAACTGGTGGAGAAGGAAGTGGTGGTGGTGGTACTTCTCTGTTCACAGGACACAGAATATGTCTTCCCTGTTCCTCTAGCTATGAGAAATTTGAGGTCCCTAGAAGGATGTTGATGTTGTGTTTATTCCTACTGTGCTTTTTCTCTCCTCGAAGGAGAGTCAAAGGAAAGTTCTGCGTAAGGGGCCTGAGAAAAGGGGCTGCCTGATGTCCTCGGGCTGCCCCACTCCTCCTGAGAGTTAGAGGGATGGGGGGTTAAAGAGGCCGGTTGAATGTGGACTTGCAGGTCAAAGGACTCCAGAGGAAGGGCTGTGTGTGCAAAACATGCAACTGGAACCAAGGCCTTGAAAACAGGCCTCTACAGCTATGGCAAATTAAGCCTGCCAGGGCTGCTACCTCCGACCCCTTTGGCAACTAGTGCCAAGGCCAAGGGGTCCACCCCATTAGCCTCACCTCTTGCTGGTGGGCCCCCCTTGGACTGCCCCATTGCGGAGGCCCCTTCCTCAGCCGGGAAAAGGGATCCCGAACCCACCCACCCACCCCTGGCATCTCAATGTCTGGGTGTTTCAATGAATGAGATCTTGCTCCGACTTGGGCAGAAGGCTGCAGAAACCCCTTCCCTCCCCTTCCGCGCGTGTGCTCCACCCTCCACGAGCACCATCACTTCAGGGAAGATTCCTGTTCGGAGCCTTTGTCATAATCTGTTTTTATTAAACATGAATGCCATTGCAAAAGAAATGAACCAAAGCAAATCTTTTGCAGGGAGGGAGCTTTCTTTAAGGTTCGGAAGATGCATTTCAAGGGGGTGAGGAAGTCAGCAAAGGCACCCACTCAGATGCTCCCAAGAAGGGAGGGACCGAAGGAGGGGGCTGCAAGTGGGCTTGAGGGGAGTGGGCACTGGGGAGGGGCCACCACAGAGAGGGCCCTTCCCCCACCCCAACTGGAGCCGGTCCACTCAGTCAGACTCCCAATGGGAACTCCAGGAGCAGCTGCACCCCCAGCTTGTCCTGGCCAGATAGGCCCTACCAAAGGTGCCACCCATGTTCTGCTCGGGCCAAAAGGTGTCCAGCTGTGCCTTCAAAGCAGCTGGGATACCACATCTCGCTGATACCACAACAGGCAATATATTACCCACCCCTACCCCCACCCCACACACACACACCACCCCCTGAAAGAGACACCCTAGAGATGTTGGCAGTCCCTGCCCCACTTCCCTGTTGCTGTCACGGGGGAGGCTACACACAAGAGAGTTAATTTCCCAGGGAAGCAGCCTTGAAAGAGAACAGGTGAATCCGTGGCAGGTGAAAGTGGAGGAGGTGATGGATGCGTTGAGATATGCCAGTCTCGGTGAGCTGTAAATATCCCACCCAAAGGCATTCGAGGCAGCAGTGATTCAAAATGCAATTTGTGTTGGAAATTAATGAAGCGCAATTATTCATAGGAATGAGTAGAAGAAAGCGTGTTTCCCAATCCAAGAGCAGCCTCTTAACAAATGACCTCTTCTCTTCCTGAATTTAGGATTGCAGATGAGGAGCTCCGTTCAGCATCACTCCAGTATCGGGTGCCGTCCCGCTTTCAAAGGCCAGTTAGAGAAATCAGAGCAGGGCTTTCCTGAGTGGGAGTGGGCACACAGGATGCCACTGAATGGCCAGCTCACTTACTTACTTAGGCAGTCCCTCGTTGTCCGAGTATGATGGCTCTCCAAGCGGTAGGTCCATAGGTAGCTGTGGGGCCCTGTTCTTGACTCGCATGTTCTTCCACAGGGAGGGCATTGGGTTCCAGGTGGAAGGCAGTCCTGGTCAGGGTTAGCTTGAGGGACCTTCTTCCTCTTCTCACCTTTCTCCCTCCCCCCCCCCCCATTGGAGCCTCTTTCAGTTCCACAGCATTGCTGGTCACAACTGACCTCCAGCAAGAGTGCTCAAGGACCAGGGCCTGCCAGTTCTGAGTCTGGTCAGCAAGGAAACGAGAATGGGACTAGATGTTCTGCTGCTGAGCACAACAGAGACTGGCTCTTTCCCAGCTGCAAGGGCATTCATTTGATTAGTTGGTTGCTCTGGTGTAAGGGACAATTCCTCCCCCTTTGCGGCAGAAAGGAGAACTGCTAGATAATTTGGGAGGGGCCCAAGGGCCTTTTAGGGCTCTTCCACACGGCCATATAACCCAGAATAGCAAGGTAGATAACCCACAATATCTGCTTTGAACTGGAATATCTGAGACCATGCTGCCAGATTATTATTATTATTATTATTATTATTATTATTATTATTATTAATTCAACTTGTATACCGCTACTCCCAATTCGGCTCGGAGTGGTTTGCAGAACAGATTAAAACAATACAATTAGCTTCAAAATGACCATAACAATAGGCAGTGAGAAGAGGCATAGCCCGGATTGTTTTAAATGTGTCACGGTGTTATTGTTTTTAGTGTGTTATTGTTTTGCTTGATGTTTTATTATTTGCTTTATGCGTTTGACTGTTGTATTCGTATGCTGTTGTTTTGTTGGTGGCCTTGGCCTTTGTAAGCCGCATCGAGTCCTCCGGGAGATGTTGCGGGGTAGAAATAAAGTTAATAAATAATAATTCATACCCAAGGACATAACCATCTTTCTCCTGGGTGGGAAATGGGCCTACCCGCTTGTGTCCTGCAGGACCCTTGTGGTCCCTTCCAGTCTATGAATCCATCTAGAAGTGGGTACAGTTCATAGCTTGGAAGGAATCAAAGAGCCTGATTACTTACCTTGTAAAAATACTGAGATTCCCACACTTAAGAGTGCTTCAGTGCTGTGCTGGATATTGATTTGGCCCGTCTGATCCAGACACTCAGGTGTCCCTACCATGGATAGCTCACTTGGGTGGCAAATGTGTGTGTTAGCGGAACACCGGGCAGAATCCAGGTTGGTCCTCAGGACTACCTCATTATTATAAGAGGGCTTTCATTCCATGTGTGTCCCTGCAGCACTGGATTCCCCTCACGACCTACGTTGGAAGGAAGGGCCGGCTTCTGTGTGTGTGCATCTGCGGACTCCGAGGGCCGAGAAGAGATGGCTCTGTGAGGCAGTCACAGCCACCATTGAAAGGCCAGGTGCCGGGTGGTGCCTTTTTCCTTGCACATATTTATTGGGATGTCACTCAGCCACCAAACATCACAAGACTCTTGGAGCGGGAAGAGGGCGGCGGGGTCAAGGCCACACTCAGGACAGCTTTCCTGCCACTGCCTTTCGACCCTCTGAACTCGAGGGCTGGCTCTTTCTGGCTACGCATTTTGAGGGGGGATCCTGCCCAAGGTCAACGCTCACTTGGCAATGCACGGGCACTTTTGGGTGCCATGCCACATTAAGGCCACTGCATCATCCCCAAATGGCTGCAGTTACACCGCAAAGATAATGGGCAGAGCTTTTCTCAGCCTCTCTCTCTTTCCCTTGGAGTCTGTTTGGGGGGGGGGGAAGGGCCAAAAGAGAGGTAAGTGCAAGGACCCAACAGACTGTAAGCCCCCTCCCCAAAAGGAGGCCCCTCCCAAGTCACCTGAAGCCAAAGGAAGGGAAGGTCTTCCCACCAAGGTAGGACCAGTCCCTTTCTCAAAGCGGGGGGGGGGGGGGGGCGCTTCCAAAGGCCTAATGAACACGGGGGGGGGGGGAGGCAGGAAGGGGCTGGATGGGATGGCCCTTTCAGTCTCTTCCTACTATGGGTTTTGGGCCCATGGCAGCCACAAGGCCAGCGATTGCCAACCTCTCTTGCCTTCCCCCCCCAAGGGACCCCCTTTTGTGGTGTGAAGGGACCCCCCACTTAGGAAGAGATCACACACACCTCTCCTCTCCTCCATGACACCAGGCAAGTGCAGTGGCCAAAGGACTTCTCCTGTCTGAGCAGGGAGTCCCTTGGAAGGAAGCCTCCCACCCTTTTGCCCCCCAGGGAAGATGGCAAGATATCCCCTCCCCCCACAACCCCATCATTTCAGGGAAAGGCAGGAGAGTCCCCTCATAATGCTGCTGCTCCTGTTTCAGTGGCTGGAAAGGGGGAGGGGGCAGAGGCACAGGAGGGAGGGGGACACCGACTGCAGACGGACACAGACAAGCCAGGCAGTGGAGGGGGGGCTCAGCGGGGGTCCACGGGGCTGCCCCCTCCCCCCTCCTCCTCCTCCGGTAGTTTCTTGAAGTCCATGGAGAGGGCCATCTCCTCGCCCTGCAGGGGCCGCCGCCACTCCTCCCGCGTCAGGATGTAGCCCAGGAGGGCCCCAAAGCCCACCAGCAGGAGCCCCAAGGCGTTGCCCAGGAGACCCTCGGGGGCAAAGGCACTGTAGGTGTCCCTGAGGGGGGGGGGAGAGAGAGAGAGGAAGGGGTCGCATTGAGCACGCAAGGGGGTGTTGGGGGAGGTCTCCCTCAGGGGCCCTCCCACCCTGCTGTGTCTTCTAAGGGGCTCCAAGCCCCATCAGCCCCCATCCAGGAGCTGGACCACATTTGCCATAATGACCATCTCATCCAGGAATCTCCCAAATGCAGCCCCCACCCCCCCCACCCCACCCCAGGAGAGCATTGATGGAGGGAGGGAGGGAGGGAGGACTTGCTTGATCTTGAAGAGGAGGAGCTCCAGGATGCCCAGGAGGGCGGTGGCAATGGAGAGCAGGAAGAGGGCAGCCCCGAAGAAGGCGTGCTGCGGCTTGTAGCGGCTGCGCAACGAGAAGGAGGCCCCGGGGAAGAGGAAGGCCCCCAGGCCCATCAGCCACTGCAAGGAGGAGAGAGGAAGAGCATGACCCATCAGGCACCCTGGGGAGCCCCATGGGGATGCCGTCGAAGCGCTGGGCCCCCCATGCAGTGGGCAGGGGGACCAGGGGGCCCTTGGAGAGTCCCCACTGAGTTGCCATCACGCTCACTGACCTACTTCACACTGATCTACTCTTAATCTTATCCTAACAAATGCGGAGGACCTGATCGATGCGGTCGAAGTGGTCGGATCCTTAGGGGCAAGTGACCATGTGCTCCTGCAATTTGAGGTACAAAGAAAGGCCGAAACTAAGACAAGTCAATCCTGCATTTTGGACTTTAGGAGAGCTGATTTCCGAAAAATGAAGGAAACACTGAGCAGCATTCCGTGGACACAGATACTAAAAGACAAGGGAGTTATGGATGGATGGGAAATTCTCAAGAGTGAAATACTCAAGGCGCAATTGCAAACTGTGCCAACAAAGAGAAAAAAATAGGACAAGTGGAAAGAAGCCAGAATGGATGTCTAAAGAACTTCTAACTGTGATAAGACACAAAAGAGACATGCACAAGAAGTGGAAAAAGGGAGAAATCACCAAAGAAGAATTCAAACAAATAGCCAACACCTGTAGGGAAAAGGTCCACAAGGCTAAAGCAAAAAACGAGCTCACTTGCCAGGGACATTAAAAACAATAAAAAGGGCTTCTATTCTTATGTCAGTAGAAAAAGGAAAAACAAGGAGGCGATAGGGCCTCTTTGAGGAGAAGATGGGGCAATGCTGACAGGGGATAGGGAAAAGGCAGAACTACTTAATGCCTTCTTTGCCTCGGTCTTCTCACAAAAAGAAAGTCATCTTCAACCTCAGCAAGATGGAGTGGATGAGGGATTAGAGGACATCCAACCCCAAATTGGGAAACAGGAGTACCTGGCCGCTCTACATGAGTTCAAGTCCCCAGGGCCAGATCAACTACACCCAAGTTAGCCATGTATAAATATGTGAGAGGAAGCCACAGGGAGGAGGAGGGAGCAAGCTTCCTTTCTGCTTCCCTGGAGACTAGGACGCAATGGAACAATGGCTTCAAACTTCAAGAGAGGAGATTCCATCTGAACATGAGGAAGAACTTCCTGACTGTGAGAGCCGTTCAGCAGTGGAACTCTCTGCCCCAGAGGGAGTGTGGTGGAGGCTCCTTCTTTGGAGGCTTTTAAACAGAGGCTGGATGGCCATCTGTCAGGGGTGATTTGAATGCAATATTCCTGCTTCTTGGCAGAATGGGGTTGGACTGGATGTCCCATGAGGTCTCTTCCAACTCTAGGATTCTATGATTCTAGTGTTAGAACACAAAAGAATAACTTTGTTGTCATTGCACATCATATTTTGATTGTGCTTTTTCTGTACGGCAGGGGATTGAACTAGATCAGGGGTCCTCAAACTAAGGCCCGGGGGCCAAATACGGCCCTCCAAGGTCATTTACCCGGCCCTTGCTCAGAGTCAACCTAAGTCTGAAATGACCTGAAAGCACACAAAAACAGAAACAACAACAACAACAACAATGCTATCTCATCAGCCAAAAGCAGGGCCACACTTCCTATTGAAATACTAATCAATATAAATAAAAATGTAATGTTTGTTTGTGGGATTAACATAACTCAAAAACCACTGGACGAATGGTCACCAAATTTGGAAACAATACACCTCTCAGGCCAACAAGTGACCATCATTCATCAAAACACTGAAAAACACAGCAGAAAAGACTTAAAAAGCAAAAAAAACCAAACCAAAATACATTACAACGCATGCACAAACCATACACACACACATATATATGCAAACACACATATATACATATATCCACAAATATATACACACAAAACACATATACACAGACTGGGCCACAGCAACACATGGCAGGGGATGGCTAGTAATTTTATATTTGTTAAAATTGTTCTTCATTTTAATAATTGTAGTTTTAAGTGTTTTTGCACTACAAATATGTACGTTGTGCATAGGAATTTGTTCATTTTTTTCAAATTATAATCGAGCCCTCCAAGAGTTTGAGGGACTGTGACCTGGCCCTCTGTTTAAAATGTTTGTGGACCCCTGGACTCGAGGGTCCCCGTGCCCTCTTCCAACTCTATGAGCCTATGATTCTAAATGCCATCCCTGATACACACAATATTTGCAGCATTACAAAGCAAAACGCCCATCCTTCCCCATTCTATTGCACGACCCATAATGCCCCATCTGACAAAGAAATGTTGAGGGGAGGGAAGCGACACAGGTGGCCCCTCCTCCGTCTCCCAGGAAGGGAAGCGAACTCCCGATGGCACCGCTGGAGGGGGGCCTGCGACCTGGGCAGGCTCTTCTCCCAGCCAGGGCCTCCCCACGTGCCCCATGGGAGCCCCACCTGGTTTGGGATTGAGTTGAAGCAGCAGAGGGAATCACCCCAAATGATAGCCTTGGGGCTTCCTGAAAGACTGTAGGTTATATATAGCAATATTAAATGAGCACTCACAAGCCGGTTTTGCGTTGAAATGAATATATTGCTTGTATCTCTGCAGCAAAGAAAGACACTA